CTTAAACAGGACTATGAAGAAAAATAACTGCAATATACTATACCAGCACAGAAAGAAAACACCTGCCTGAACACCTCATGTAACACATCTGGTCACTGTTAGCCTTCATAAACAAAACATTTTTTAAGACATAAACTTAATATTTATTTATCTTGGTATACCTAGCATCTATAACAGCACTTTGTTACTTGTAGTTCTGAGAAAGTGCTAACATCTCCAAATCTTCTCATTTCTAAGCTTCTTGGACTGCTTTAAACATAAGATAGAAGTTACTCTGGATAGGCAAAATAACAAAAACATTAGTACCAAAACTAATAGACACTCCTAATACACAAAAGGTACATTATGACAGGATCATCAAAATCAACTTTTATTTGCTGGTTTAGAGTTTTCAAAGCAAGATGAAATGAGAATGATCATACAGTACCTTACCCTTTCTACCGGTGAACCATAGCATGCAATGCCAAAACATAGCAGTGACAGATGGCATTGGTGTTATTAACTATAAAAAGGATAATAGCAGAGAAATGATGGTTGGCAGACAAGACACAGAAATGCAGATGAAATGAAAGCAAACTTGTAGTTCTTGAAGCAGAGCAAAACCTTTAAGCCAAAGGTTGCCACTAGCTTCAATTTAATTTACACTTTGAGTTTTAGATGGACAAACACTGCAACCTTTGTGATCAGTCTTTAGACGCTTCATGCAGAAGCAGAACCATACTCCTTGATATAGAAGATCAGCAACCTTCTGTAAACACAAGACAGCAGCAGCAGCAGCCCATTATTCTCTCCCTTCACTGATTTTTATCATTGTTCCCTCCATTTAAATTTTTAATCTCCAATTGCAGCCTGATCCAGTCGTTTCAAATAGATCTGTATCCACTGCAGATACAAATCCCTGCCTAACCTGCAGTACCACTGCATCCAGAACGTTCCTGTGCATCGTTCATACAGGATCAGTTGCAATACCATTCAAGTCATCCAGCAAACAACCCAAAAAAGAAGGAAAAAGCAGTTCGGACTGTGAAGAGAAAGAATCTCTTCTCTCAGCTCACCCTGGAAATGGAAGGTTTTCTGATCAACAGTTATTGTGAAGGTGCTGTCGTCTTCATCGTCTATACCAATCACAGCTCCCTGTGAAACAAAGAGCAAAATCCCAATAAGGCAAACAATGACATCAGCAATATTCACTACTGCTACAGCCCAGCAATACTCAATGCACCAATGACACTGGAAAAAGGCTAGACACAGAAAAGAGGAATCTGAGACTAGTTTTGCTTAAGGAGGAAGAACTAAAGGAGAGGTACTGGCAGGACACTTAAGTACCCTGCATGGGTACTTTCGTTGCCCTGCATAAGGAGCAAGGATGTGGCGGGTGGGGGAGGGAACAAACAGAAGCTAAGTCTAGAATCTGTGTTTAAAAGCCACTGAATCTTTCTGAGCTTTAGATGGCTCTCTAAAATAGGAGTCAGAAACCTACACGCCCCCAGGTTATTGTGATGATCAAAGAAAGCCCGTGCTGTTTGTCAGGCTGCTTCTGTGTTATACTTGTTAGTGCAGAAATGCCAGGTGACATTTGCTTCAAAATACTGTCCCAGTTGCTTCTTCCAGGTACTCCCATAACTACTAGTACATCACTCTGCTATTGCACTTTTCACAATACTGTGATTATTTATAAATCTGCCTCTGCCCATTAAACTGATTGATAAAAGGTCTTAGAAATCAAGAAGTATTTTTTTATTTTGACACATGGCACTNCACTGAGGGTTGCGATCCGTTGCCGGACACGGAAAAAGACAAAAAAAAAAAAAAAAAATTGCAGACTTTCTTATAAGCAAAGACCTATGAACGTGAAATAACTCTCATTATTGCCAACAAACATATAGTCTTACCAAGTTCTTTGCAAAAGCCAGATCTCATGTTGTCTAAGACTCCCAAAACTAGTACAGTAGAAAATAAACTAATCAACCTAACAGTTCAGAACTAAGAATCCATTTTAAAAATACACATAACTCTTATTTACCCTTATCATTTAAATCATTCATTAGAGGAATTTCTTATTTTATAAGCAAGCCTCAATAAATATGAAAACGTTAAAGGGAAGATCAGCTTAATATAACCAATTTAAAAGTAAACCAAAATGAAGATCAGCTGAATATAAACAATTTAAAAGTAAACCAAAATGAAAAGTAAACCAAAATTAAGCCTTTTGCTCCAGAGATCTGAGTCTCTTCTCCTTTAAACAAGCAAATAATACAGCTTCTGGAAGTCCAAAGGAGATGTCTCCTTAGTAACTGCAGAGGAGAGAATTCCATACTGCAGCCATCACCTGCAAGCAGAATCTCTCACTTTAAATGTATTAAGCATTCAATTTCATTCAAGTCAAGTGTTTCAGTGTGGGGGAATTATCTGCTTCCATTCATAAGCAGTTACATATTTACCCTAAAAATAAAGACTTTAGGCTTTCATAATAGGATTAAAAACATTTTATGAAGTTAAATGTAGTAGAAAATTTCAGGAGAGCATCATTATTTAAGCAGCTCTCAATAAATATTATTACCAAACACAGTAAATATTTTAAGGATAAGCAGGAGAAAGCATTGAGACACTACTATTTAGTACACTGCTTTGTCTTTATTGTATATAAGATACATCTTTCATTTCTGTGTCAATTTCTTAAACAGGACTATGAAGAAAAATAACTGCAATATACTATACCAGCACAGAAAGAAAACACCTGCCTGAACACCTCATGTAACACATCTGGTCACTGTTAGACTTCATAAACAAAACATTTTTTAAGACATAAACTTAATATTTATTTATCTTGGTATACCTAGCATCTATAACAGCACATTGTTACTTGTAGTTCTGAGAAAGTGCTAACATCTCCAAATCTTCTCATTTCTAAGCTTCTNCTGGAAATGGAAGGTTTTCTGATCAACAGTTATTGTGGATGTGCTGTCGTCTTCATCGTCTATACCAATCACAGCTCCCTGTGAAACAAAGAGCAAAATCCCAATAAGGCAAACAATGACATCAGCAATATTCACTACTGCTACAGCCCAGCAATACTCAATGCACCAATGACACTGGAAAAAGGCTAGACACAGAAAAGAGGAATCTGAGACTAGTTTTGCTTAAGGAGGAAGAACTAAAGGAGAGGTACTGGCAGGACACTTAAGTACCCTGCATGGGTACTTTCGTTGCCCTGCATAAGGAGCAAGGATGTGGCGGGGGGGGGAGGGAACAAACAGAAGCTAAGTCTAGAATCTGGGTTTAAAAGCCACTGAATCTTTCTGAGCTTTAGATGGCTCTCTAAAATAGGAGTAAGAAACCTACACGCCCCCAGGTTATTGTGATGATCAAAGAAAGCCCGTGCTGTTTGTCAGGCTGCTTCTGTGTTATACTTGTTAGTGCAGAAATGCCAGGTGACATTTGCTTCAAAATACTGTCCCAGTTGCTTCTTCCAGGTACTCCCATAACTACTAGTACATCACTCTGCTATTGCACTTTTCACAATACTGTGATTATTTATAAATCTGCCTCTGCCCATTAAACTGATTGATAAAAGGTCTTAGAAATCAAGAAGTATTTTTTTATTTTGACACATGGCACTCAAGAACACACTTAGTAAATGTTTCCTAAATAATCGCATGAACAACTCTCCAAATGGGGTGTGGGGGGGGGGGGGGTTGGGGAACTGGGTTCATAGGTT